CCCCAGAGCTGCTGCGTGCGAGCAGCCTCCGAGCACCGCCGGCACCCGGGCTTCTTTGCCAGAGATAAGGAAAAGAAGAAGCCACATCTACAGGTTGCCCATAAAAACTTACAGGAAGGACATCAATGCTCGAGAAGAGGAGCACTGCAACTTGGTGAGCTAACATGTGTGTGTGTGTGCGAGAGGGATGGAGACGAGGAGGAACATGCACGGGCAAGACATAAATTAGCTCAGGTTTTTAGTATGCAGCTCATTTAGATAATAAAGAAGATAGCGCTTGCCACTGCAAGAGCGTCAGCAGCTCCTGGGAAGGGCGGAGGGAAGAGTTAAGCACAGTTGTGGTATCTGTACCCCATCAGCTCTGATGTGCTCCACAACACGCAGCCAGTTTGTTAATTACACCATCGCGTGTAATTAACTGCCCCATTTCCTTGGGCTGCCTGTTCACCACCGCTTATTCCTCTTGAGTGTTAGCAATTCCAGCAGGATTTGGTAAAGTCAGTGCTTTTTTTTTTTTCCTCTGGGAGCAGTTTACTCTCCAGCTCTGGCTCATCTCTGGGCACTGAATCAGGACACAGGGACCTCTGGCACTGAACAGAAAGCCTCACCTGAACACAGACTTGAGACGCTCCCCACAAAGAGTGCTTTTAAGCTTTAAAAAAGCATTTTATCATCTGGCAGCTCCTAACATGGAAGAAACACTCAGCACATTTTTCTTTAGCTATTTTGTTTTTAAACTCTGCTGTAATCTTCCTCAATCCCCTGCCCCGATTTTATTAGTTCTAACTAGTTCTAAAAACCCCCCAGCACCTATGTCCATGAAGAGCATAACCCCAGCCTAACTAACTGCAGCATGGCAATGAAAACAATACCTTTCAAAATATTTAATAAAATACATATGCCACTTTAAAGTCTAAAAACCATGGGGTTCAACAGCAGTTTTTTTCGTTTGACATAAATCTGAACATTTCTGTTCTTAAGTACTTTATTGACTCGGGGCCGAAAGATGTGCTTAACGCCAAGTGCTGTCCTGTTTTGCTGAATCAGACTAAAGCCAGAGCTGTGACACTGGAAAACCTCTTGAGAAGTGAGTACTGAAACAGAACAAGATCCAACACAAAAAGTTGTTTCAAATTGCCTTGGCCTTAAGTGTCCCATATCCACAGTGAACATGTGAGCTGAGCACAGCTGTAGCAGAACCCAAACCTATTTTTTGCCCCCCCACGCTTCTGTTTCAGAGGGGTGAGAGAGCTGAGCACAGATCCCAGCAAGATGGAGAGGAGAAAGCTCCAGGCTATGAGGAAAAAGGAAAAACAGAGCGGGAAACTGAGTCAGGAAACCTCTGACTGAGGGCAAGCAGCTTGGCTCCATGCCAACCAGATTATCTGAGTGAAAACCTCTCTTTAAAGAGCAGCAACCCATCCCGGCTGGGGGGAAGTGATGCGTCTGCGTGAGCTCACGGGAGCCGAATAACTCACTCGCACACAAAGGTTCCCAGTGGAATGTCTTGCATCGTTCGCACACCCCAGCCCATCTTTTGCGTCCGATAAAGCTGCAACCGAGTCCTGGAAAAGAGAAAAGGAAGCCACGTTAACGGCAGCACTCTGCATAAAGACAGCGAACTTTCACAGAGAGCCGAGCATGAGAGCCGGCGACCTTCCATCGGCACAAACTCAAGGACGACTTCAACATTCAACTCCCCCAGTTGTCACGCTGGCACCACCACGGGTACGCTCCACTCCCACCCTGCTCCAAGCAGGGACTCGAATGAAAACTACCTGGGGACAGGGGACGGGCACCTCGAACCCTCCTCCCTGCCCCTCGCACGGGGCACACCCAGAGCCTGGCTGCTCTGTCTGGTTACGCTGTCAACGTTTTCCCTGTAGGACACCAGAATTTCACTCCCATTTCTCTTCCCTTCCGTGCACACACCCCGTGCTCAGGGGAAGGCAGGGAGAGCCCAGGGGACTTAAGGCCGCGCAGCTCTGCAGGGGTAAGGCAGGGAGCCTACGGTGATTCAGAACACCTCGAGCTCAGCGCTCTGCCCCGTTGCCCTCTGCTGAGGTCGGTGCATTTAGCAACTCCATCATATCCAGCTCTCTGGCTGTAAGACAAGGAAGAAACGCCGCAACTTGAAACGTCGTGTTGTAATAGCTGTTCTGTGGAATTTTACTGATGGAGTTTATAGGCAGAGAAACAACCCTGTAAGTCATTCTGCCTCCTGCCCAGCCAGAACTTGAGTTAAGTGCAGGATGAACAGTCTCCAGGGGTAGGGAAGGCTCGCTCTGTTCCCGAGGGGAGGAACCAAACCCCACTCGCAGCAACACTGTTATTGGAATAAAGAGAAATGCAATGCTTACTTGAACTTCACCCTGTTGCTTCTTCCAGTACTCCTCTTCCCCCCACCCAGGCCCTCCTTGCACCGTCAGCTCAAACCAGGGGCTGTGCATTTTCTCAGATTGGCTCACAGCGCCTGGACCCTTCACCAGTGCAAAACATGACTTCATGAGAACAACAGCTTTCAGAGAAACCCGTTATAACGCTGTATTTCGGGCTCCAGGAAGCTCCCTTATGTTTTGCCTCATCCATCGCAGCAGAGAGCTCAGGTTCAGGCTCTGCCATCGGGGCCGGCTGAGCTGGGTCAGCCCGCCAGATGGAAACGTGCGCACTGCCGAGCGGAGTTAATTTAAAGCAAATCTGATGAAGGAAGTACTGAAAATGGGGCAGGAGCACCCCCGTGTCAACGCGGGAGGTTTGCTCCACTGCCTCCCCAGGGAGCTCAGGCACAGCTCCGCCAAGCACCTGGGCTCACCAACAGCTTCCCCACGGAGCAGCTCTCCCCAGCTCACCGTTGGGTTTCCAACCCTTCCTGTCTTTCGGAAAAACACTTCAGCAAGGCAAAAATGCAAAAGCAACAGCTCTAGCTGTAGAGCTCCTAAATAAACACCCACATAGACACTGGAGCTCTGGAGCTTGGCAGGGAAAATCAGAGAGAGGTAAAGCTCTGCACAAACACATTGAGCTTTTTGCTTACTTATTTTTAACACTGCAAAATGTCTTTGAAACTACAAAGCTTGCAAAAAAAAAGCATTGTCAGTACTACAGAAAATTTGCAAAAGTCTTTTTTTCCAGTGGGACTCCTTTGAACTTAGCGCAGTGAAAATTTCTCCGTAGCAGAGGTCCAAAACAAAGCACTTGTATTTTTAGCCTGGCACCAAAATCCTACCGGCCTGCAGCACCGAGGCGAACAGGTACTCAGGCATCCAATTCGGGAGGGAGTCATAGCACTAACTTGGAAATTTTAAGCAGCCAAGTCCAGGAATGCTGGCCTATACTTCCATTAGAGACTGCTAACTTTCAAGATTTTCTAAATTAAGGCTTTGCAGTTTCTGTTGCCGTTATCTTCTTCACAAATCTCTGCCCGGCACATCCCATCCAGGCTGCTCACGTAAACCCACAAGCCAGTTATGCTTTAAGGTCAGGCTGAGGAAAGACCGCTGCAGTTCCCACGTGACAGGGGCAGGGTGCAAACATGAATCGAGTTCATCGACCTGCTGCTGCTCTGTCCCCATCACAGGAACGCGCTTCCATCGTGTCACCACGCCAGTGGCCCAACTTCTGTCTCATCTCAGCAAGACTTGGGGTTTTGTAGGTTTTATGGGTGAGCTGAGACAAGGGAAGCTCACGAGGAGTTCGGGGTTGGCCTTGCCAAGGTAAGTTGCCCCCCC